AGAGAATCCAGAGAATTATAAAACTAGCCATTCTAATCTTGATACCTGGAAAGATCATGGAGCAGGTTCTGAAGGACTATATTGTGAAGCATGTAGAAAACAAGGTGATTAGGAATAGCCAGGAAGCAAACAGCAATAGCAAGTCTTACCTGACCATCCTGATCTCCTTCTATGATGAGGTGACAGGCCCTGTGAATGGGGTGGGGGGGAGCAGTGGATGTGATATACTTTTGACTTTAGCAAGGCTTTAGACATTGTCTTCCATGGATTCTCATTAACAAGCTAAGGCAAGGGTGCTCAAACGTGGCTTATGGGCCAGATCCAACCCATGGAGCCATTTCATCCTGTCTGCCAAGCAGCTAGGAATTTGGCAATGGGGGAGCAGTGGCAGTGTTAATTGCTTCTCCCCTGCTGCAAATTTCTAGACCTGTAGGGAGCCCTGTAGGCTGGATAGCATGGCCCTACAAGCGATTGCACCAGTATGTAGCTGGATCCAGAAATCAATTAAATGAAAATTCAGCAAGGATAAGGGCAAAGTCCTGCACCTGTTATGGAATAATTGCACCCACAAATACAGACCGGGTAATGACTGGCTAGGCTGCAGTACTGCAGGGAAGGACCTAAAGGTTACAATAGATAGATCATAAGCAGAATACGAGACAAAAGTGTGCTCTTGTTGCAAAAAGGCAACAGCATATTGGGTTGTATTAACAAGAGTGTCACTTGCAAATCAAGGGAAGTGATTCTTCCACTCTTCAGCACTAGTAAGGCTTCACTTGGAACACTGTGTCCAGTTTTGGGCCTCAAACTTCAAGATGCAAATAAATTGGAAGAGTCCAGCACAGAACAACAAAAATGATTAGAGGCCTGGTAACCATGATTTACGAGGAAAGACTGGAAGAGCTAGGGCTATTTAGTTCGGAGAAGAGAAGACTGAGGTGGGATTTGATACCAGTCTTCTAGTAGATGAAAGGTGATTACAGAGAGGATGGAGTTGGGCTTTTCTTCATGGTCATGCAGAACAGGACTAGAAGCAAAGCATCAAGGAGTAGCATCCTGATTCCAGGCTCCACATGTGCCAGCAAGTTTAAAGGTGCACTGGCCAGCCAGGACTGGATAGTATAGCACTGGGGACATTTAAAGGTCTGGGAGAACAGGGAGCCTGGCACTTGGTAGCCACTCCCCAATTCTGGGCTCCCTATGTGCTGGTAGACATGCAATGGGATCTAAACAAGTTTATTCTGAAGTCATGTATTTAAAATATCATCTGCCAAGGGCCTGTGAAACGCAGAGCAGTGACAGCCAGACAAGAGCAATACAGTGCACTTGTTTGGTTTTGTGACAGTATTGCCTTTTCCACTTTCTTGCAAGACTTGCTTTATCTTTATTAAGCTATCAAAAGGCAGGGCAAAAGCAAAGTAGGGGTAGGTTAGCAGGAACATAGAAATACCAGTCAATCTTCCAGGTAGTACATCAGAACAAGTAAATGCAAGAAAAAGTACAAAGTGTCATCATGTGGTTCTAAGCCAAACACAGAATTCAAACACATCCCAGTTTTGCAATACCCGTCACTTGCACTGCAAGAAATCAAAGCATTAAATATTACAAATTTCAGTGAGAAAATTACAAGTAAGTTTGATATTTTGTATGTATCAAGCTACCAAAGTGGCCAATTTAAAGCAGGCTACTTCACAGTACAAGGCGAAAAAAAGTTCTATAAACTTTTATCACTTACTAGGATTACTTCCTATAGCATGCAAGGCCCAGATAGTTACATACATTTGAGCATGCTAACGATAAGGCTTTAATTCTCTTTAACTGCATCAGTTTATTCTATTTGCTACCTTGCAAGAAAACTAACTTGGTCTTTTCTTCTTCTGCAACAATGTGATCCTCAAATAACTCTGAAGAGCCAAATCCCATTCTGATATCCAGTTCTTTCATAGATAGGAAGTGGAGCCTTCAAACCAAAAAAGACCTTTTTTCAGAGTGGCAGCTCTAAAAATTAGATTTCTTGGTTAGCTGGATTCATGAAGTTCAGTTCTGTTGACTGAAATGTTGTACCTGGCCTCAGATACAACATTCAAAATTGGCTTTATCTGTGCTTATAAATAGATGCAATTACCTTTTATTTCTTGAGACAGAGTAGCATTGAATCCAGGTCTGCACCAGGATAGCTTTGCTAGGACAGCTATACCAACAAGCAACCCTGTGGAGATGCAATTTATGCTAGCAAGAATGCTTTTGCTGAGATGGTTATTCCAACTTTCAGAAAGCAAAACAAGCTCCAGTACCAAAATACTTTTCCGACAGTATAGGCTGGGCTGGCTCTTGAGTCTTTGCTGTTATAGAGATGTTGGCAGGAGCAGGGGGAAAGGGGAAGGGAAATACAGCCTTCCACATCTAGCTAAAATAAGTATATTGACAAGGCCTGTGTGCAGGTTTGCCCAGAGTGCCCCAAAATTCTCCTTGTACCCCACAAGTCCTGCCTTGTAAGCTGCTCCTCTTCCCTTTCCAGGCCCAACTCATCATGAAGAGGGCTACATGATGCTCCCCATGCCAAGACAACCACATGTAGCCACAGAGCCTTTTCTGGAAGCACATTCTGTTTCTTATGGGGGGAGGAGGGGGGAGGAATCCTTGGAAGCTGCCCTTATGACTGCGCTGGGTAAAACCTGGGCTCCCCCCACCAAGTTTGCTCTCAGGACCTGTTGTGCTAAGAGTCAGATGTTTCGAGAATTAGAATAAGGACCTTTTGCTCCTTCTCAATTTATAATGACCACATCAAAACAATGAAATCAGTCCTGGCCACTTCTTGCAGAAAGGATGGCACCAAAGGAAGCGGGGGTTAAGGGCTTTTGCACCACCAATAAGACCCACATTTGAAATGATTGGAGCCCAAGCATAGATAAGTCACCTGTGGCTACCAGCATTTAGCATCCTATCTATCTGCTCTAACAAGGTTCGAGTTAAACACAAATGGTGGTCCCTTGTCTTGATTAACACCTTTGAGACAAACTTGACATCACAGGGCCACTGCAGTAAAAGATAAAGCAGGGGTGTCAAGTATGGGCAGGATTTGGCCTGCAAAACCATTCCAGGTGGCCCACTTGTAGTCTGGTGAGCTACCAGAAATTTGGGGCACAGCCTACCACAGAATCCCAAGTCCCTGGGCCTCAATAGTCATGTCCATCACTGGCAAAGGGGAAAGTGAGGCCTATGCAGATACAGTCCTTGCTTGCCCCGCTGTCACCCAAACCCTGACGTACGCTGCTGACCCAGGACCAGACCCACCACAGCTGCTTCTGGCTCCATGGATCCAGCCTAGGAGGAGGCCCCATGACCCCAACCTGGCCCAGGACCCAGGGTGAGTTTGACCCACCTAACACAAAGGAAAGTCTTCAAACATGCAACTCTTGGGCTCCAACACAGATGTCAAGTACTGCACCAAATGTAGAACTGAGGCAGGAAAAGCCCCAAACAACAGAGCACCCAGCTAGGCTATACTTTTGTGATCCTAAAACTAACGAAAATGGCTAACTAGTTAAATACCTAAATCCATTGTTAACATAACGCTTGCAACCACTCTAGGGAGGCAAGTGAAAAAGCCTGTATGGATCAAGAATTACAGCCCCAAGGAGAGAATGATTCCTCCCACATGCCAATTTTTGCTACATGTGGAAGAATCCTCTTCAAGCTAGAAAATTCCATGGGACAGTCTTGGAGGTGCTGGAGCACTCTGAAACCCAGGGTGAAAGGGATATGCTCCCAGGGCATGACTAGGCTGCTTGGTTTGGAAGACTGAGGCAGCTCTTTTTGCCCTATCCCTCAAACAGAGATTGGAAAGTCGCCCCTTTGTCAAGATGGAGGAGTTCACTTCTTTCACAAAGGGAAGATGTCCTTGAGGCATGGGGATATTTTGATACCTGTTAGATCTCTGAATAAGAGGGTGGTCTTCAATTCTTACTTTTGAGCCAGGAAAAAGGTCTTTGCCAATATTATTCCTTTGTTCCTCCACCCCCACCCCAACCAGATTTTAGTCTGAATGCAAAGAACTTCTCTCTGCCAGGGCAGTATATGCTATATGATCTTATACAATTCATAGTACCTAAACCCAAGGAGCATCTTAAAAAAAAAAAAAAACACCAAAATAATCCCCTCTCTTTTATTTGTGGAACTATTTCAAACTTGACACATCCCACAAATCCTTTGGGAGAAGATTTCAGTAGTTTTTAAACTGAAGTCCCAAAATTAACACAACAGGCTGTGTGATGCACAGAGGAAGGTTATATTGAATTGAACCATTGGTGCAGAGAGTCAAAACCTTCACCTCCTTTTCGTTCCCCCATAGCCTGGAAAACAAACAGAAAAAAAAAAGTCTTAAATAGCCTTGGTTCTGCAGGTAGCTTTCCATTTTTACACACTGGTAACAGCGTGGCTAAGCACATTCATAGATCAGTGTAATAACGCACTGACATGGGAAAGACTTCTACCTAGGAAAATCAGACTGACTGTTTTTTGGGAAGCATTTAGTGAGCACACATCATTGCCAAGAGAGGTGTAAGCCCTAACAAAGACAAATGAACTTTGCAGACTGTTGGGATGTGTACAGTGAAGACAGCCTCATGCTCCCTGTTGGCCCAAGGAGAAGCTCTATACTCAAGCAGACTGTTTACCTTTCAGGGCAGGGGTCATCTCTTGAGCACAAGCATAAACAGATCTCAGGGCTTTGGACACTAGTTTAATATGTTTCTTAATAAATCATCTCTTGGCCTTGCCCTGATCAGTAGGTAATAACCCAGAAAACAGCTTTAGCAACAGTCAATGCCAAGTCCCAGTCAAGGAGGTTTAAAAGAAAGACCTGCAGTAGTCTGGAATGGAAAAGCTTATCTACAAAGGAGTTAACGGACCTGGCTACATCTTGACTGGTTTTCAAAAATGGAATTATAACTTTGGTTATGAAATGCTGAAAACATCCAACCTATGCTACAAACTGCTACTATGTTGTAACTAGCCCAAATTTGTTGCGCAGATGGGGCTCTAAAAAAGAAAATAACCATTCTGCAGGCCAGACCATTAGGTATCCCTGCAGAGCCTTGTTTCAGACAATACAGAGGTTGGATAGGAGGGTGCGAATAAAGAAGGGAGTCAGAAACTGACTTATTTGGACAGTATAGAGTTCAGCAGCCTCATGCACTGATCACCATCTAAGGTTTATAGTGAGTGAGTGAAAAAAGGGACAGTATCTATTCACTTAATCATCAGTCACACAAAGAGCAGAGCAAGAATTACACAATAATGCAGGTAAACGCTGATGACTACTATAGTAGAAGTTCATTAATCTAAAGCCCAATGAAAGCCCACTAAGTCTTCCCATTGATTTAGGTGGGCTTTAGGTCAGCCCCCAATCTCTTGAGCAGCAGGAAGAAAAAAACCTGAAGAAAATACTTACCAGATGCAGTTCTTGTCCCTGAACTACCAGGCTGTGTGGAGTTGCATGAATTCCCCCACGTGGGAGGTGCAGCTGTTGGACCAGTCCATGAATTGAAATGTGGAAAATATGAGCGTGATTGTCCTCTGCCAAAAGAAACACAGGGTTGGAGTTAATTATTTTTTTGAAAGAGAGGTCATTGTTTATGCAGCAAAGTCTCATTAAAAACAAAAAGTTGACTGGGAAGGTGCAAATACACACATTTTATCATTTTAAAGCCAGAAAGCTTAGAAAGATTCAAAGAATATTAATATCTATTGAATTCTGTGAAAATAAATGTTACCTGTGATAATTCTATATATTTTTTTTAATCACAACCACACAAAATGTACAAACTACAAGCTTCTGGATTTAAGCCAAATCTCTAAGTCCTGCAAGGGCAAGTTCTCTCTGTTTGAAATATCTTTTTTTTGTGCACTGTCAGAGATGGAAGACTGAACTAGAGACATCACCGCCTGGTTCTCTTCAGGCTTTTCCTGTATTATGCAATGCATCTTCAAGCCAATTTCAGAAAACGTGACTGACTGCAATACAGTTGTTATGTGAATTTTATTTAGTGTTTCTGAACTTTTGACCCATCTCAGTTCAATTTACTCTTTATTTATTGGCAGGAAATGCGTACTTTTTGCAAATTCATCACTTGTTAAGTTATACTTGCCACAGGTTTCTTCTTACTTGCTAAGATATATGTAAAAGGTGGCATTGGAACAAAGTTACCATGGCATTTGCTGACATCAGCATTCTTGAACCACATGGTTTCAAAAGCCGAAATCAATTTTAGGCCAACATTTTCAAATACAGGAAGCTAAAGTCTGTAAGTTCTCATTTAAGATCAGTCTAAATGTTCCAACATTCTGAGCATCAAAGTCCCACTGAGGTGAAACATACACCAAGCAAATTGTTTATAAAACCTATTTAAATCAATTTAAGGTGGTACTGAACTAAAAAAGCTTTTAAAAAAATTGCACGGGAAACATTTCTATGAAACAATAATACATTTTTAACAGGGTGCCATCTTAGCTATGTTAAAACAAAAGCTCTTCTGAAGTGACTGCAAATATTTCCATATTTCTTCCTACTGATTAAGTCTGTTAACTGGGCATTCAGTCAGACCTGCCACCTTTGCTGCTTTTAACTGTTAGCCCTAGAGAGCCAAGAGAGCAAGCTGGATTCTTTGTCGTCTTGCACAGTAGATGTCAAGGATCCCAAACTAGTTTTTCTTGCAGAACTGCTAGCTTAAAGACATGTTTTTCCTCAGGTCAATACAGACTGATGTTTCATTACATCCCCACTAGTGTCATAGAACATTTCTGCGTCTCTTATGCTTTCATCTGTTGATAACCTAATTTTTGTTCCTTAAATTGCATGCAAATACAAATCTGCTGTAGAAATGGAGCAATATAATACCTAATTGCAGGTAGTACAGTAACTTGGTAAATGAAGCACTTCTCTGCAAGAGCAGTTTTAGTTCTTCAAGCTCCCCGAGGAGCTACACAAATCTTCTCTATATGTGCTAAAATGGCAACTGTTGTTACTCTTAGAAAATCATTTGGAAAGGTTTGCAAAATGTTTATTAAACAAGCATTTTAAATATAAATGGCAAATATTGGCACAGCTCCTTAAATGTTTTTTACTGCAGTACATCTCAGATTCCTGCCTACTGTTACTTTTATAGTTCTTCCAAGACCATGCATCTTGGAAGATACTTAATGGCAGGTGGAGAGGCAAGACTGATCTGTGTATCAGAACCCCATGTTTGGCTTCGCAGAGTGCTTCAAAATGTTGATGTCACAACCAAGAAACAGCTACCTTAAAAGACTTTAAGTGGGGTAAAAATTAAGAAAAAAGGGCTAACAAATATGTAAACACTCTGTGCGCAATGTCTCCACACATGCATAAGGCTATTTTAACTTGTCAATTTGCAACTCATCTATCAGGCTCCAAAGTATGTATTTAATTAAAAATAGAGCAGAGTTGAAAAGAACCCTTTAAAAAAAGCTCCCAGTCTACTGAAGTTGCAAGTGCGTGCAGATTTTACAGCGTGGCTGATGCATAGTCCTGCAAACTCAAATTCAGACGCAACATGGCCATTTTATGGCCCTGAAAGTTACAAATCAGAAGGAAAGACTGGTGTAGGGAGACTGGGGTTATCAGCGCTGTGCTTACCTCTGATTGCCAGCCAAGTATCCCAGTAGGCTGCCTGTTCCTAATCCAGTCCAAAACCCTGCTCCTGAGTTGGCCTGATAACCGGAACCACCACCTAAGCCACCAGCTCCTTAATTCAAATAGCAAATGAAAAACACATCAGCTTTCAAGTCAGCGACACTTTACCTTTGAAGAAGCCCACACATTACTGAATGATTCTCGTGGAGGAAGAATTACAGGCCTGGTTCCTGCTGCTATCAGCAA